AAAAAAAAAAAAAGCCAAAAAGACACTATTTTAATTCTTTTTTAAAAAACATAAAATCCAAATATGTAATCTCAAAACTGTATACACCCAGAGTACTTAGAAGGTGTGGGAAGATCTACAGTCCTCAAAGTACCTGGGCAGGAAGATACAACACAGGAAACACACATTTCATCTCCTGTTGAGTCTCCTTCCCAAAAAACCAAAAGTGAATACCTAATTATAAATCCACGGAAACTCTACTAGACTTGTATGTACAGCTGTGAAAATCTCAAGTCTAATATGTTGTATCCCATACTCTATATTTAATCCATTTATAAGAGCGCCTGTTATTGGTTAGGGCTTCTCAGCCCTGAGATACAGTAGTGAGCAAAGCAGATAATTATACCTGCCATAATGAAGTTTATATGGAGTATATATTTCTTAAATGTGTTTTTTTCTTAAATGTGTTTTTTCCCTTAAATGTGTTTTTTCCCAGCTTTACTGAAGTATACTTGGAAAATAAAAATTTTATATATTTACAGTCTACAACTTGATATTTTCATATACATATACACTGTGGAATAATTGCCAAAATCAAACTAACATATCTATCATCTCACATAGTTACGGTTGGTTTGTTTTGCGGGGGATGACAGGAACACTTAAGATCAACTCTCTTAGCAAGTTTCAGATATATGATAGAAAAAAGACCATATTTTAAATAATAAAAGATTCTGATGAGTCAAACAGTATAATAACTCAGAATTCATAAAGTCATCTCTAGATTGAACAATGCAAAAGTCAGTGGTCACACTAGTAACCAGTTTTGATGGAGTACTGGAAATTAAGACCTGAAGCAGACTTAAGAGGAAATATAAGCAGATAAAGTGGAGACAATGAATATGGAAAAAATCTTTATAGAAAAGTCATTATAAAGACTAGTAGAAAATGGATAACATTTGCAAAGGGAAATGGGGTTAAGAGGATATATATATGTGTGTGTGTATATATATATATAATTTATTTTATTTTTAGGTTATAGCTTACTGTAACCTCAAACTCCTGGGCTCAGGCCACCCTCCCACTTTGGCCTCCCAAAGCACTAGGATTACAGATGTGAGCCACCATACCTAGCCCAAACCCAAAAATCCTTTATAGAAAAAAATTGCTAAACCCTGCTGTAGAACATCTGAAAAAATACAGAGAAATAGAACATCTAAAAAAATACAGAAAAATCGCATGAAGAAAACAGCTATCCATATCTCACCCTCAATGATGTAGGTTGACTGTAATTTTACCATTCTCATGGCTAAATATTTTGAAAATCTCTGACTATTTCCTAAGGATAAGTTCTTTGAAGTGGAATTCCTAAGCCAATGAGTGTGAGTGGCTTTTTGAACCTTGGTACTTAGCACAGAATTTCGTTTCAGCCTGCATTTCTGTCAATGCCTGTACCTTGCTAACATTAAACAAGCAAACAATAATTCCTTTTCTAATGGATTTGGTTTTGTTTTCATGGATTCAGGGGCAGGTTCAAGGTGGTGGTCTGTGTCCTGTCTGCAGTTACGACGTGCCTGGCATTTGTCAAGCCTGCCATCAACAACATCTCTCTGATGACCCTGGGAGTTCCTTGCACTGCACTGCTCATCGCAGAGCTAAAGAGGTAGGTGCCGTCATTCCTGCCTACGCTTTAGCTCTCCCTGTGCTAGGAAAACACCAGCTCAGGGCTTCTTTGCTGTCCTGCAGCCGAAGAAGAGTTTTATTCCTCATGAAGAGTTAGTTGCTGGCTGTTGGATGGAAGCAGGTTTGATGGTTTGGTTCAAAATGCTAATAATCTCATTTTTAGTAAGAGGGGAGCAGCTGTTTTGCAGATGCAGTGCATCCTACTGATCACAAGCTAGCTTACCAGGACCATCTCAGCGCCTAGACCAGGCTGTCTAGACTTAATTCTGTAGAAAAGAAAAGTCCTAGAGAGGTTATTGCATTCACACACAGAAGGAAAAAGAGAAAGGGGGCAGGGAAAATGAGTTTGTATCTATAAGAAAATATGCACATCAGGTGGACTGCAGTTGACTATGATACTTTCTTTGAGGCTTAGTGTCTCATTTACAATCTATTAGGCAAAGGTTTTGCTCTTTGCACTAGCATTTTCCTTTGGGAACTTGTGTACTCAGAATTCAGGTTGATATCCAGAAACATTTTCGTTTAGCGCTTCTTGGTACATCATTGTCCTCTTCTAGACCCAACTGAAGTACATCTAATCACTGCCCTTATTTTAATGCTCTTTGAAAACACTTCTTTTTATTTCCAGCCATTTAAAAAATGCTTTTTTTTTTTTTTTTGAGCAAGATACTTGCCTTGAAGCCCTGGGGGGAGGCCAGGGGGGCAATCTCGGCTCACCACAACCTCTGCCTTCTGGGTTCAAGTGATTCTCCTGCCTCAGCCTCCCGAGGAGCTGGTACTACAGGTACGTGCCACCACGCCCAGTATTTTTTTTGTATTTTCAGTAGAGATGGGGTTTCGCCATGTTGGCCAGTCTGGTCTTGAAGTTGGGGTGAGGGTAGAGTTAGAGCGGGGATGTAGGGAGGTGGTAGGGGAGACAGAAAAGGGAATGACTACTAATAAGTAAGGGCTTCGTATTTGAGTGTTGGAAAAACTATAATATAAGATTGTGGTAATGGGTTGAAGATACCAAAACACACTGACCTGTACATTTTTTTTTTTTTTTAAGATGGAGTCTCACTCTGTCGCCCAAGCTAGAGTGCAGTGGCACAATGCTTACTGCAACCGCCACCTCTTGGGTTCAAGCAATTTTCCTGCCTCAGCCTCCTGAGTAGCTGGGACTACAGGCACCTACTAACATGCCTGGCCAATTTTTTGCATTTTAGTAGAGACAGGGTTTCACCATGTTGCTCAGGGTTGTCTCGAACTCCTGAGCTCAGGCAGTCTGCCTGCCTTGGCCTCCCAAAGTGCTAGGATTACAGGCGTGAGCCACCGCACCTGACTTGAACTGTACACTTTAAATAGGGGAATTTTATGATATGTGAAGTATACCCCAATAAAGCTATAAACAAAGCTATAAACAAAACAAAAACCCTCAGAACCTGCCCAGGTGATTCTGCGTGGTGGAATCATGCCTGGCCAACATGGTGAAACCCCATGTCTGCTAAAAACACAAAAAATTAGCTGGGTGTGGTGGCAGACGCCTGTAATCCCAGCTACTCAGGAGGCTGAGGCAGGAGAATCACTTGAATCCAGGAGGCAGAGGTTGTGGTGCGTGGAGATCACGCCATTGCACTCCAGCCTGGGCAACACAGCAAGACTCCATCTCAAAAAAAAAAGCTCCCTCTATTCCTCACCTCTCATTTACTCATTTGCTCTTCAACTCTTGCCAATCTGGTTTCTGCGCCTACTTCGACACCCAAATCCCTCTCTGTAGGCTATACACCCAGTGATCAGTTTTCAGCCCCCCTGTATCTTATGTGTTATTCTCTCAGCTGCTTGCCCAATTAGTTCTCCTCCCCATGGTTGAAATGTTCTTCGCCATGGCTCCTGTGATAGCACATCCTCCTGGATTTCCCATTACCTCTCGGCAGCTCCTTTTCAGTTTCTTGCGTAGACTGCTACTTTTCTACACAGCTTTGCATGTAGGACTCCCTTAAGGTGCACCCTCAACTCCCTGCTTGCTATGGTCTGAATGTTTGTGTCTCCCCTGAATTCATATGTTGAAATACTAATTAATAAGGTGATGATATTAGGAGGTGGACCTTTTGGAAGGTGATTAAGTCATTGGGGGTAGAGCCCTCATACATGGGATTAGTGCTCTTATAAAAGAGGCCCCAGAGAGCTGCCTGGGCCCTTCTACCATGTGAGGATACAGCGCTAGAAGGTGTGATCTGTAAGGAATGGCCCTCACCGGACACTGATTCTGCTGGCACCTTGATCTCAGACTTCCCAGCCTCCAGAACTATGAGAAACAAATGTCTGTTTTTATCAGCCACCCAGTATACAATGTTTTGTTACAACAGCCTGCATGGATTAAGACACTGTTTTTCTCCCTTTATATGTCCCCCTGAAAGATCTCTTCTACTTCTGTGGCTTTAATTCTCTTACATATGCAGATGACTCCTAAACTTATGTCTCCAACCCAGTCCTTCCTCTTAACTCTACTATTATGTGTCTAGCTGCCTACCTAACCTAATTCCATGTATCTTGGGCATCTCAAATTCAACTTGTCCAAACCCAGATTCCTGATCTGCCTTTTCTAGCTCTGGTTCTGTTCATCATATTTCTAGTTGCAGAAAAGGGGAGCACCATTTACCCAGTTACTCAAGCCTGACATCCTCTTCCTTCCCCACACATGCCATTTGAGCACATTTTTCTTTTTTTTTTGGGACAGACTCCTACTCTGTTACCCAGGCTGGAGTGCAATGGCATGATCTCAGCTCACTACTACCTTTGCCTCCTGAGTTCAAGCGATTCTCCTGCCTTAGCCTCTCAAGTAGCTGAGACCACAGGCACACGCCACCATGCCCGGCTAATTTTTTATATTTTTAGTAGAGATGGGGCTTCACCATGTTAGCCAGGAAGGTCTCGATCTCCTGACCTCATGATCTGCCCTCCTCGGCCTCCCAAAGTGCTGGGATCACAGGCATGCATGAGCCACGCGCCCAGCCCCGAGCACAGTCATTTTTCTACCAGTCGATGTTGCAGTGAAGATGAAGTTCCAGATCCTTGACATGCTCCAGCCTTCCCCTGTGAGCTGATCGCTCCCACAAGAAGCTCCTCTGCCTTCCATCCTCAGCCATTCTGACCTTCTGTGTCTTCCGTGGACCCTGCACCTGTCAGCCCTAGGCCCTTCCTTATTTATGCAGTCCCTTTTTTTGGCCCTCTTGCTTGGTTAACTTCTACTCATCCTTCAGATTGGGCTGAACTATTTATATGCTGTTCCAGGACCCTGAACTTGTTTATTGCACCCATCCTGATTGTAATTAGATTATTTGTATTGTTTTGTTTGGTGTCTGTCCCCTCTGCTGGACATCGACTCCACGTGGGCAGGGATGGGGTCTCTTTGTTCGCTGCTGTGTCCCAGTTACCACACCAGTTCCCAGCCAGGAAAAGAAAAGAAAGAAAAGATGGTTGTTTCCCTACTTTGATAAAATACCCAGACAAAAGGATGCCCTTATCGCTCTTGCACCTCTTTCCTGAATCTTCCCTGGTTATCACCCGTGATGATATTATGTCTGAGCTGAATGTTTCTCACTGCATGCTCGTTTGCTCAGAGGAAATAGAGGAGGAATGGTTTTCTCACTTTCTCTTTCTCTTTAGCCTTTCTTCCTAAGGCTTGTTTCTAGTCATTTCTTGTAATCAGCTTCCTGAGAAGTATTTCCATTGTCTTTTCTGACCTCTCCCTCACACCATGAGAAAACAGAAGTTTATGCTGATTTTGGGTCATGACCTGACACTGAAATTGGTGGTGTTAAGTACGTTGCTGAGTAACTCAGATACATTTATAATATTGTAAAAAATACTTTTTCTGATTATAGGAGTGATTTTATTGTTAAGAAAAATTTGAGAATACAATCAAGGGTCAAGAAGAAAAGAAATGGTAGACATTCCTCTCAAGATTTTTCTATTATAGAATAAGGTCTTGCTGTACATATGATTTTTGTCCCCCACTTTTCACTTCACATTGATATTTTGATAAAAGCCCTGAAAAATGGGAGTGAAACTGAACGGACCACCTCCGGTTAGGTTTGGACAAACCCCGAGTGCAAATAAGGCTAGTCAGCAGCTTTTAGCAGGACCTGCTTCCTCTAGAAGCAGAGAAAGGAAGAGTAACAGACTGCCCTGAGACCAGGCTCTACAGAGCCCGGCTCCTGCCTCATACATGCCAAGCCTGCCCTGTCCCGGTGCTTGCAGTGACTAATGGCCGGACATGCTGCCTCTCAGTTGATACCCTCCATGCAGGACATCTCCAGCACCTTGCTCTCTGTTCTGGTGTGTTCCTTAAGCCAAACTTTCTAGGTTTAATTGCATTGGATGTTCATGGATCCTCATGTCCCAGACTAATTGTCTATATATTTGTTGATATTTGTTCCTGACTATTTTCATTTTATTTTTAAAATTCAAGGCAAGATGCTTATTTATTTTGTATTTTATAGTGCCTAGCATAGAATTTGATGCCCAATCAATACTTTTGTTTTTTTTCTCCGAGATGGGGTCTCGCTCTATCGCCCAGGCTGGAGTGCAGTGGCACTGTCTCAGCTCACTGCAACCTCCGTCTCCTGGGTTCAAGCGATTCTCTTGCCTCAGCCTCCCGAGTAGCTGGGACTACAGATGCATGCCATCATGCCCAGCTAATTTATTGTGTTTTTAAAAATTTAATTTAATTTTAATTTTTTATTTTTTTTTTTATTTTTTTGAGACAGAGTCTTGCTCAGTCGCCCAGGCTGGAGTGCAGTGGCGCGATCTTGGCTCACTGCAAGCTCTGCCTCCCGGGTTCACGCTATTCTCCTGCCTCAGCCTCCAGAGTAGGTAGGACTACAGGTGCCCGCCACCACGCCCAGCTAATTTTTTTTTGTATTTTTAGTAGATACGGAGTTTCACCATGTTAGCCAGGATGGTCTCGATCTCCTGACCTCGTGATCCCCTGGCCTTGGCCTCCCAAAGTGCTGGGATTACAGGTGTGAGCCACTGCGCCCGGCCAATAATCTTAAATAATCTAAAAATAATGTTCTGCCCAAATTACAAATTACCAAATTAGAGTCCAGTTATTCATAATTTTATCCATTAATTCAGGGAGCATTTAACAGTGCCTGGCAGAGTTGCCAGGCATGCAGTATGCATTAGTGAATAGAACAGGGGTAGTTCCTCTTGTCATTGGGCTTCTAGGCTGGTTTGTTTGTTTGTTTGTTTATTTATTGAGATGGAGTCTCACTCTTGAAGCTCAGGCTGGAGCAGTGGCGCGATCTGAGCTCTCTGCAACCTCTGCAACTTGGGTTCAAGCAATTCTCCTGCCTCAGCCTCCCAAGTAGCTGAGATTACAGGCGTGTGCCACCACCCCTGGCTAATTTTTGTATTTTTAGTAGAGATGGGATATCACCACGTTGGCCAGGCTGGTCTCCAACTCCTGACCTCAAGTGATCCACCCATCTTGGCCTCCCAAAGTGCTGAGATTACAGGGGTGAGCCACTGCTCCCGGCCTCTAGGCTAGTTTAATACCAGATGTTACACAGATAATCCATAGTTTCAGCTTGTGATGAGAGTTATGAAGGAACATGGCGGGGTGCCCTGAGAGTGCACTAAGGCAGGGGTGTCGGCTCTTTTGGTTTCCCTGTGCCATATTGGAAGAAAAATTGTCTTAGGCCACACATAAAATATACTAATGATAGCTGATGAGCTAAAAAAAAAAAAGTCACAGAAAAAAATCTCATAATGTTTTAAGAAAGTTTATGAATTTGTGTTGGGCCTCATTCGAAGCTGTCCTGGTCAGCATGCAGCCTGTGGGCCACGGCTTTGGACAAGCTTGCACCACGGGGAGACCTATAGTCTGGCATGGAGTAGCTGGCATGGAGTGTCAGAAGAAGCCTGGAGACTGAGCCCTGGAGAGAAGGAGAGGGTGGGTCAAGGTGAGGAGATGAGCTCTTTTTGAGAGGGAACCAGCCCAAAGGCGAGGCTTTCAAGGTAGAGAGGTGAGCAGAAGTGAGAAATGGAAATTGTTACCTCTTTGTTTTAGCAACTGGGAATGTAAGTCTTCCTGTGTCATGGGCCTCTATTCTTTCTAAAAACTTCAAGGGATGCCTTTAGCCTTCCTACAAGAGTATTTTGGTTTGTTTTTGAGCAGGTCTTTCTGAACCTGTCCCACTTTTATTGATGCTTTCGCTGATGTTTCTGAAAGGCAGCTGGGAAGGGCACTAGCCAGTGAGGCTTTTAACACCTGTCTGTGGATTCAACAAATAGGAATTAAGCTGCTTCTCAATTGCAGATGTTGTGTTGTATTCTGAGTCCTGTAGGAGATCTTGACTGATGCAGGAGTGGTCCCCTCGGGGAAGAAGGACCCTCAGCCACCAGCTGCCTCCAGGCATTCCTCCCCAGGGATAGAAGTCACCCACTTTATGAGCAAGACTTTAACAAGGAAAGAAGACAGCAATTGAAATTTTCGTTGAGCTGTTAGGATTTGTTTCAGAAAACCATTTTGTCCCAGTGTGTATAATAACTTATTCTTTCATTCTACACATGTTGTGTGCCTTCTGTGTCTGGCATGTTTCCAGGTGCTGGGATACGGCAGTAAACAGCTTCCATGTCAGTGGATAAACATACACTGGAAACATATAAGTGAAACACAGCGGGTGTCAGGGAGGTTATAATCACTACCGAGAAAATTAAAGGAGGGAAGGAGGCCTTAGGGAGAGTCACTTGGGAGGTGGAGACAGGTGTTGCAATTGTTAAAAATAGCATCAGGAAAAGGCTTACTGAGTGACATTTGAGCAAAGATTTGTATCTAGGGGAAGAGCATTCCAGGCAAGAGGGCACAGTGTGTGCTATGGTCTTGCAGGAACATGTTTGGGATATTTGCGGAACAGCACAAATCCCGCAGTGGCTTGAGTACAGGCAGTGAGAGGGAAGAGTACCTAAGAGAGGAGGTGAGGGGGAAGAGGGAAGATCATGCATCCAAGGCCTTGTGGCCGCTGTGAATACTTTGGCTTTCCCTCTGGTTAAACCGGAAGATGCTGGAGGCTGTTAAATTGGCTACTGTAAGGGCAAGGGTGGAAGGAGACTGATGAGATGGCGGTAGCGTGGATCTAGAAGGAGGTGTTGGAAAAAGGTCAGGTTTGAGATATTTTGAAGGGAGAGCTGATGGACTGGATGTGGGCTGTCTGAGGAGGAGAAGGACTGGGAGAGCAATAGGTTATGGACTTGTTAAATTTAGATCCATATTAGGGTGCTCATGTCAAAAACGTAGTTGGGTGTATGAGTCTGGAGTCAGGCGAGAAGCCTGGGTGGGAAGGGTGTCTGTAAGCCATCTGTGTACATATGGTATTTACATCCATGAGACTGTGGAGTGACTGTGTGTTGGGTAAGAACTTCAGTGCCAAGGGTTTGTGGGCATGAGAGGAACCAGCGAAGGAGACAGAGGAAAGGTGGCCGGCGAGGTGGTAGAGACCAGTTCTGACGGTGAGTGACCTTCTGGACCCCCATGCAGATGTGACAACGTGCGTGTGTTTAAGCTGGGCCTCTTCTCGGGCCTCTGGTGGACCCTGGCCCTGTTCTGCTGGATCAGTGACCGAGCTTTCTGCGAGCTGCTGTCGTCCTTCAACTTCCCCTACCTGCACTGCGTGTGGTAAGCCCCTGCTAATGGGGAGGTGGCTGGGGACAGGTGTGTTTGCGCTTGCTCTTGGGCTCTGTTCACCCTGCAGGTGGTGCACAGGTGTCCTGGGGGTTGCTGGCTTCCTTCTCTCCTCAGGTGGACTGTCAGATGGTTCAGAAGCCACTGAAAGTTCACTTTGTAAAAAGCTGAATTGACTCCAGGGAGCAGGCTTAGCTGGAACAAAAGGCCTGATTGTCATGCTTAGGTCTGCAGTTTCTTACCTCTAACTCCATCATTAAAGCCTAAAGGAGCCTGAGAACTGAACCTGTAACCTGAGCTCTAGCTAGGTGTTAGGGGAGGGGAGAGGTAGGGGAAAGCTGGGGAAAGAGGTGATGTGAGGGCTGGGAGTGTCCTCAGTAGGAACCCCACCTTTAGGGCCTGAGTGACCAAGTGAAAGGAGGGGCCGCACAGGCCATTTAGGGACATTCTCTTCCATTATTTCTCTAAGTGGATACAGAAGACCAGAGAGCTAAAGTGAATTGTTTAATATCACCCACCTGTTTCTGTAGAAAACAGCCTTGGAGTTCAATAATAGCAAGTTGGAGCATCTATACTTTGGAATGCTCAGGATACACTAAGTTAAAAAAAAAAAAGTGGGTTACAAAATACAGGCAGAATCCGATTCTGAGAAAGCTGGGGGAAATCAGAGTGGCTTTCTTCCTAGAACTGCTTCAGCCTCAAACCCAGAGTGATCTTTCCTTTCTCTCCTCCAGGACTTCTGATTGCAAAAGATCACGAGGAGGAGAAATCTGCTGTAGATTATCCCCTATAGATAGAGGGAACCCAGGAAGGAATTCTAGTGGTGAAGAAATGGAAAAACTTTGTTAGATCTAGATTCAGGAAAAGGTTGACTTCTATCCAGAGATGGGCTAAAGATACACAATTTGATAGCATTCACTTACGTTCCCTTGCTCATGCGAACTTCTATATGTTTACCATGAGACCCACCCTACTCTAAATTTAAGACTTGGGGACTTCAAGGAGTATTTGCAAAAGACAAAACTCAAACAGCACAAGTTGGAGTTTACAGTCTTAGGATCCATTGTTCAACATTTTTTAGATTTCAACCTCAGCTAATACTAGCGAATTTATATACTTTATATATTTGTTGAATTGTAATTTCCAGATAACAAAACACACAGATTTTATGTGTATATTGTGAATTTTGAGAAACGTGTACACTAGGTAAATGACCTCATTCAAGATGGTCATTTTTATCTATCTAAGTCCCCTTGTCACACTAGTGATTTAAGTCAAATTCAAAATTTAAACTATGTAATAATGTTGACTCAAACTTAATTTGTTTCTGAATTTGGTGTTATTTCTGCCTTTTCAAAGTTGAACCATCTTTTCTTTCTAGTTGTAAAATGACATATATGTTTTTTATAACAAATTTAAACAACAAAGAAGTATAGAAAGAATGGCTCTTATAATTCTATGCCCCAAAGAAACATAATTGTTAACAGTCTGACATATATCCATTGAGATTTTATATGTACACACACACACATATATATATCTACTTAAAAAATAGAATCGTTCTATACATGATGCAAACTTTTTTTTTTTTTTTTTTTTGAGACAAAGTCTTGCTCCGTTGCCCAGGCTGGAGTGCAGTGGGGCGATCTCGGCTCACTGCAATCTCTGTCTCCCGGACTGAAAGTGATTCTCCCACTTCACCCCTGCAGGGAGCTGGAACTAAAGGTGTATGCCACTGCACTAGGCTAATTTATTTTGAATTTTTCTGTAGAGATGGGTTTTTGCCATGTTGCCCAGCCTTGTCAGAAACTCCTGGGCTCAAGCAGTCCACCTGCCTTGGGCTCCCAAAGTGCTAGGATTACAGGCATGAGCCATTGAGCCCAGCCCCAATTTTTTTTTTTTTTTAACCAAACAAATACTTAAATCTATACTGCATAGATCTAATGCTATACAGACGTCATTGCATACCAATACATACATATAAAATCTTCATTATTTTGTCTAATTAATACTTCATAATATGGATGCTTTATAATTTATTTAACCAGCCTCTCTCTGATAATGGACATTGAGGTTATTTCTAATTTTCCACTTTTGCAAACACTTTTATAATGAACACCTAGATTGATTTGAGTTTCTGAATATTTTCATATTAAATTAATAATATATATTGCCAAATCCAGAGAAACTGTACCATTAACACTGTTTACTGAAGTCTGTAAGAGAGCATCTTTTACCCACACTTTCACATATACTGGAAACTTAAATCCCCATTAACCTGATTGAGAAAAATTATATTTTGTTTTTATTACTATGTCTTTTAACAAAATTAGTATTTTTGTTGGGCATCTTTTCAGATGTAAATTTGTGACGTGTATTTCCCCTTTTAATTTTCTTTGGTCTATTGAGTGTTTCTATTTTTAAAAGTTTATATCGGCCGGATGCGGTGGCTCATGTCTGTAATCCCAGCACTGTGGGAGGCCGAAGTGGGTGGATCACAAGGTCAGGAGATCGAGACCATCCTGGCTAACACGTCTCTACTAAAAATACAAAAAATTAGCTGGGTGTGGTGGCATTTCCTTGTAGTCCCAGCTACTTGGGAGGCTTAGGCAGGAGAATCGCTTGAACCCGGGAGGCAGAGATTGCAGTGAACCAAGATTGCACCACTGCACTCTAGCCTGGGCAACAGAGTGAGACTCCGTCTCAAAAAAAAAAAAAAAAGTTTAGATCCAGCATCTAGGCTTGGCACATAGTAGACAGTCATTACTATGTGCCACTTATGCATATTTGCAACATTTTCACAAGTGCAGAGAATAATACATTGAGCCCCCATATAGGCAACACCCAGATTCCATAAATATCAACATGAGGCCAATCTTGTTCATACCATTCTCACCTGCTTCCCACCTTGACCCTGATTAATTTCTTTAGTGTTCTTTGTATGTAAGGGTTTAAACTTTGTCATGTGCTGCAAATATTCCCTGCCCCCCACCGCAGTTTCCTGTTTGTCTTTCAGTATGTTAATATTTTTGTGCCATAATGGTTTCAAACTTTCATGTTGTCACATCTGTTAATCTTTTCTTTAGAGTTTCTGGATTTTGTGTAATTTTTAAAAAGACCCCCTCCCTACCACCATCAAAATTTATAAAAATACTGTCTTTGGGCTGAGCGCAGTGGCTCACACCTGTAATCCCAGCATCTTGGGAGGCCAAGGCACGTGGATCACCTGAGGTCAGGAGTTCGAGACCGCCCTGGCCAGTGTGGTGAAACCCCCTCTCTACTAAAAATACAAAAATTAGCTAGCTGGGCCTGGTGACAGGCACCTGTAATCCCAGCTACTTGGGAGGCTGAGGCAGGAGAACTGCTTGAACCTGGGAGGCAGAGGTTGCAGTGAGCCAAGATTGCACTACTGCACTTCAGCCTGGGTGACATCTAAAAAAAAAAAAAAGAAAGGATTATATGCTTTTAAATGGTCTATTGTTTGATAAAGATTAATATTAAATTAAAACTTTTCACAGGTACAGTGAGGATAAATTTTTTTGTTTGTTTGTTTTTGAGACAGAGTCTTGCTCTGTCGCCCAGGCTGGACTGCAATGGTGTGATCTCAGCTCACTGCAAGCTCCGCCTCCAGGTTCATGCCATTCTCCTGCCTCAGCCTCCCGATTAACTGGGACTACAGGCGCCCACCACCATGCCCGGCTAATTTTTTTAATTATTATTTTTAGTAGAGACGGGGTTTCACCTTGTTAGCCAGGATGGTCTCGCTCTCTTGACCTCGTGATCCACCTGCCTTGGCCTCCAAAAGTACTGGGATTAGAGGCGTGAGCCACCGCGCCCGGCCCCAGTGAGGATAAATTTTTTAAAATTTCCACTAAACTGCAAAAGTGGCTTAATCAACATAAAATTATTCCTGATGAAGGACATAAAATATCTGTAACCAATTGTTAAAGTGAGAAGGTGGGATCTAATCAGATGTGCTCAGTTACTTCTGTCTTAGCACCTCTGTTGTAAATCCTTGGGCCTCAGTTTTCTTGTTTGAGGCCCAAAGGCATTTATTTGCACATTTGTTCCTATTATCCAGTAGCAATATTTTAGAACATTCTAAAATGGGTCCCAAATTGCTGAAGATTTATCATCCTGCTGTTCCAGGGATTGTTGGTAATCTTCATCTTTTCCTAATTAGAAGAGGCCCCTGGGCTGCAAGTACAGTCAGCAAGGTGGGTGGTTACACTGGAAGAAGGAGCAGGCTGAACTCAGGCCAGCGGAGTCTTCATGCTCATCAGGTTCTCACCTCTTGTCTCCCTCTGCAGGCACATCCTCATATGCCTTGCTGCCTACCTGGGCTGTGTATGCTTTGCCTACTTTGATGCTGCCTCAGAGATTCCTGAGCAAGGCCCTGTCATCAAGTTCTGGCCCAGCGAGAAATGGGCCTTCATTGGTGTCCCCTACGTGTCCCTTCTGTGTGCCAACAAGAAATCATCAGTCAAGATCACGTGATGGCAAGGTGGTGGCTGGCTTCTCTGCTTATCGCCCCTCATGCAGTGGGCTTCCTTTGCTAGGAAGACAGCCAAGGGATTTCGAAGAGTTGGGATGTGGGCTATCTTTTCAAAAATCTGTTTGCTGAGGCTCTCACTAATATGTCTGTGGACCACCAGGATTCCCCTGTGCAAGGGGAAAAGTGTCTATTCCTTTCCCAAAGACGGAAAATGGAGGGCTTAGGGACACTAGATGCATCTTTCTCAGCATCGCTTCCAGATGCATGACTTGTTGGGCTGCGTCCTTAATGGCCATGGCAGAGCAGTCCCTTGGGGGATCCAGCCCTGTACAGTGCATCTTGTCCTGGAGAAAGCTGGCCTGCTCCAGACCCCACCATTCCCAGGCACCCTTGGAGTGGACTCTACTGATGACAGACAGACCCTCTCACAGACAAGACCCTCTGACTCTCTGGTGGAAGATGCCAGAGATTTTCCTTTGGGGTAATTGTCCTTAAACAAAACCAAACAGATGAAACACACACAGGACTTGTGGCTAAAAAAGGCTAGTTTTTCACTTGCATTTCTCAACTAACATGCATCTGTGAATCCTTTTACTACTACCTCTGTGGAGAGATGGAGAGACTTCAGATAAAGGTGAAGCTAACGCGTAAAACCCTCTCTGCCAAAACCTACACTCCACTGTAGGCCATTCTTGAAGATGAGCACAGTTTTTAAATATTGACATCATTTCCGCTTCCCCCTCCCACCCCAGCTCAGCAGCCTCAAATCCACAGAGAAGAAGAATTATGGCATGAACATTCCCACAGACCCACCGTCTTTAAGACTTGACCTCCATAAGTTTACCAAAGGGCTCCTCACAATTGTGGTGGGGGTTCTGGTTCAAAATTTGGAGCACACATGAAGTTTTTGGAAACTTTTTCTCATTTAAAGTCTCCAGTATGCTGTACTATTCTGGAAATTACCTTCAAGAATCTCACTTCTTGTTTCTGTTGTGTTTTCTGTGGGCATCATGTTATTCACTCTTGCGGTAGAAGGTGCTTTCTGGGTTTCCCAGAGTATCCAACGGCTCACTTTTCTCAAGTGCTGGCAGTAACTATGCACTCACGGGCTAGTTTGGGCCGCTGATGCAGCAGTGCAAATCTGTCGCCTTCTGAATTTTTCTCACCTAATGTGACATTGGCTACAATGAATCTTCTCTTCATCGGACTGAATGCAAGATTCAAGAACTGTCTTCAAGGTGCATGGTGGGAATT